GGTGGATCTTGAGAACCTTCTCCGTTGTGATCTTATTCCAGCCACAGATACAGCTTTGTAGTTTGTGTCCTGTCAGTGCTGTAAGTCCGTCAACTGTCTTGCTGATCGTCTTTTCGATTCCAAAGTCTGTTACCATGTGGTCTGCTAGTGAGTCATCTTGAGCCCCCGCTCTCGCAGACTCAGGGGGTATTCTTCCTCTTTAATTTTTCGTAGCAATGGTTGGGTGGATCCGAGTCATTGTGTTGTGACCGGCCCCTGCCGACATTGGTAGCTAGCCCATGCCAGCCCCAGAATCATATTATTTCCTTAAGGTCTTATAAAAAAAGGGATAGTTCCACCAAACTCCAACTTCTGACAAATTAAAGAGTAATAGGAATTAGGTCTGTCAAGCTTAAATGTCCAAATGTTTGTGCTGTATTCCTTTAAATACCAGCTGTGTGTTTAACGTGCATGTACATTAAGATTTTCCCTACATTGCATATATATATATATATATATATAATATATTTATATATATATATATATATATATATATAGAGAGAGAGAGAGAGAGAGAGAGAGGAGAGAGAGAGAGAGAGAGAGAGAGAGAGAGAGAGAGAGAGAGAGAGAGAGAGAGAGAGAGAGAGAGAGAGAGAGAGAGAGAGAGAGAGAGAGAGAGACACACACCGGACACTTTATTAGTTACACTTTGTACGCGCCGGGTTGGACCCCCTTTTGCCTTCAGGAATTAAAGGGATTCCCTTAAAGGAATAGTTCACTTCAAGATGAAAATTCTGTCATCATTTACTCACCCTCAAGTTGTTTCAAACCTGTATGAATTTCTTTCTTCTGCTGAACACAAAGGAAGATATTTTGGAGAATATCGGTAACCAGACAGTTGATGAACCCCATTGACTTCCAAAATAAACTGTTTGGTTACCATTTGGGCCCCAAAGTGTGCAAAGAAAATATCCCCATACCGTTACAGCACCAGCCTGAACCTTTGATACAAGGCAGGATGGATTCAGATCACAATCTTCTATTGTCCAATTTTGGTGAGGCTTTGTGAATTGTAGCCTAGTTTCCTATTCTTAGCTGACAGTGTCACCGGTGTGTCTTCTGCTGCTGTAGTCCATCTGCTTCAAGGTTTGACGTGTTGTGCGTTCAGAGATGCTCTTCTGCAGACCCCGGTTGTAACTGGTGGTTATTTAAGTTACTGTTGCCTTTCTATCAGCTTGAACCAGTCTGGCCATTCTCCTCTGACCTTTGGCATTTACACAGCATTTTCCCCCACAGAACTGCCGCTCACTGGATATTTTCTCATTCTCTGTGAACCCTAGAGATGGTTGGGTGTGAAAAATCCCAGTAGATCAACAGTTTCTGAAATTCTCAGACCAGGCCATCTGGCATCCCTTTCAAAGTTACTTAAATAATCTTTCTAACCAATTCTAATGCTCAGTTTGAACTTCAGCAGACCATAGCTGTGTTTGAAATCGCCCCCTATACCCTCATTCACTATTCCCTACATGACTTCACTAATATATATGTGTGTGTGTGTGTGTGAATTCGGACACTGAGTGCACCGGAATGACTGCCGCTTTTGCATAGTTTGTGCTTTCTGTTTAAGGGTATAGGGGGCCTAAATTTCAGACCATTTCTACATGCCTTAATGCATTGAGTTGCTGCTATGTGATTGGCTGATTAGATATATCCGTTAACTAGCAGTTGAACAGGTGAACCTAATAAAGTGGATGCGGTGAGAGTGTGTATATATATATATATACACATACACACACACACAAACATTTTAAATTTCTTGAATTATAAATAAGAAAAGTTATATATACATTTTTTATATATAAATGATAATATGCAAAAGAAAAAGATCAGATGGATTTAGAATAGATGCTGACAGACAGGTCGGCAGATACCTCTTTAAAGTTGGGGTGTTTGGCATCCTGCACTAGTTGTAATAAAACTCCCTCTGTAGTGGTGAGAAACGCCCCACTCTGCTTCAGTCGTGACAGTGCAAAAAGACGATCTGTATGACTGAAAAACAAAAGGCAGATATGTTTTCAAAACCCTGACAATCACTTAAAGAATTGACTTATAGGACACATCAGATTTTACACAACCACCTCATCTTTAAGCAAACACTGTGAAATTCCTCCAGTTTCTATAGACCTTTAGAAAAAAAGCTTATAGATGCCATCCATCATTTGACTTGAGTTTGTGTCTGAAAAGATGTGGGTGAGAGTAAAGATAAGGTATGTAGGTGTCTCATGTTTGCATTGATTTAAAACACAGTTTTTCCTGTTTTATCACGTGACATAACGCTTTCCATAAGATACATAAATATAGAATATCACAACAGTTTTCAATTTTGTATATTTTAAACAAAATTATTATTATACCTCCGAGAGGAGACAGCATCTGCCACAATATGGACCTCCATGCCTCGCTCCAGAAGATCATAGGTTGTACACTACAGTAAAACAACAACCTTAAAGATCATGATCAGGAGACAATAAATGTGTCAGTGAAAGTAAAAAGTGCCATGGCACCAGTTTAAAAATCCGTTTGACATTACCGCAATGCACGCTTGAGCCTCGATGCCACATAGTATGACTTGCTGAGGGTCTCCCAGGCTCTTGAGTGAGCTCTCGACACTGTCCGTCAGCATGGAGAAACTGGTCTTTGTATGAGGCTTCAGGCCCTCGGCCCCCAGCTCAGGAACAGTGGGGCCCAGACCTTTAGGGTACTGCTCGGTTAAAATCTGAGGGATGTGCAAGATTCGGCATGCCTGGAAGAGAAACAAAATTTATCATGTCCATTTCCCAACCTACAATGGAACTGCCATATTACTAAGATTTAAATGGATATCCCTCTAGCATTCCTCACTCAAGGGTCATGTTTCTGATCCTCGGCAGTCAAAACAGACCAAACACAATAAGCCTAACATTTTTTGATGAATGAATGTGCAATATTTTGTTTCAATAATATTTATTCTTTTAATATCTAGTATTTTGAGGCTATAACAAAATATTTCACGCTACTACAAAATATTCACCTCTAAATTATGCACCATTTATTTCTATATATAAATTAATTACTTTTATTATTCATTATATATTTAGACATTAGATATTATCAAACACTGCTTCATTATGGCTGATTTGTAGATTGTACCCAAATATTGACATTTTTTAGTACTTCCCATTCGTTTCCAATAGCGGTAAGTTTTGACCACAAAGATCACAAGTGTGACTATTTTTTAAGAGACGATTTAGCCTTTTCTAATCATGTCAACAATTTCTTGTGGTCAAATAGCAAGTGCCACAAAATTCACCATGTTTCGTACCATTGCAAAGAAGTAATATAAATTCTGAAAAATTCCAAATGTAAAATATTTCAGTCTTAAATTACAGAAGACCACCAAAGGGATATAGATAATGCATAGAAAATCAGGTAGCTGACAAGATGCAGTGGTGACAGCACATTTAATACATGATAATTATAGATTGTGTTATATGAATACTCCAGCAGTTCTGATTAACTAAAGGTGCTGATTGTACCTGTAGCAATCTTGCTGCATTGCTCACAATGTTTGTGAACTGGAAAATATTGGGTCTGAACTTCTCCTGAATGTCACACAGTAGCAGCACTGAGCCTTTGGTAGACAGCCTGCCAATTCTTGCCACTGAGGAGATAACCAGGTAATTATGTCACATAATGTCTCACATACTGCGAGTCTTTGTGCTGGGGCCCTCTAGGGGGCCCCAATAATTCTTAAAATCATTTCAATTTAGTCATAATACCATAACCTTAATTAAAACGCTAAATCGTTAAAAAAATAAAGATGCACTAAATAAACTTTAATGAAAATAAAAACCAGTATGTCTAAATCGATGTTGTGAAAGTACATAGAGCTCCTAATGTCCTGCATGTAAATAACTCCTTGAATTCTTCTCACACATTTATAACACACAGATTTCAACCACAGCTGCGTTGATAGAGTTCAATGTCATTCACGAGGAGTACTTACTGTTTGTAGTGTAATATGAGGGAGTCTCAGACCTCAAAGATCAAGATCAGGTCACCGTTACCTGTATGTTATGTCCACTGCTCGTATTGGTCAAACTGTTGAAACTCTAGTGAAGTTTATATGGTAATGACTAAGCCGAGTACAACACTAACATATTCATAAATGACAGCAACGCACAAAATTCAGATACAGCACAAAGGTAACGTTATATCCTGATATCTACGTGTGCCCTTGAAATATATATTTCCTTGATTATTATTACAACAATGCACAACACAAACCTCCAGATTAGAGGCCACTAGTGGCGTATAGCTCGTGATTTTGAACCAATCTTTCAAATGAACGATTCAGAAGGAACTCTTCAACTAGCTCCATTTAAAGAATGATGATAGCAAGAGCCAATAGATTTCGAGTAAGGGTTGTAAATGAGAATTTCGTTGGTTGGACTCAGAGCCATGCGACCTACTCAACGAAACCGCCCCTTCACTGAAAGAATCTATTTTGTGTTTTGAGACTCGAGTCGGAGCAGCACTGAAAAAGTCATTTCGTTTGTGAACGAACTGAATGCATCGGATAAGTAAATGATTCACTGGCTCACCTATAACCCCAACACACAAAAATACCCTTTGGCGTAACCCTGTGTAACCATAGAATGTAAAAAAAAAAGTGTGTAAAGGAAAGGAGCACTGAATTTGAAAGAAACAATATAATGAATAGATTCAAAAGATTCGAGTCAGTGGGATGAATCAAAATCCCAACCACTGTTCAGTGTTCACTGCCATCCAGATCCATTAGAGGGCGTTGTGAGATTCAAAGCAATTCAGTGTATTTTTTGTTTTTGTTTTGTTTTTTTGTATTGAACATATTAATTTACATGTAATGATTTTAAATGCATGCATGCAATACTAAAAATCAGCAACAGTAATAGATACCCGTTATAATATATTTTAATGGCTTGATATGTAAAATTGACCCGGAAGTGTTTGGGAGTGGCGACTGACCTTAGTGGGCGCACTCTCACGGCCTTGGCGTTCCACAGATTTTGTGGAAAATATAGGGTCTATTTAACGTATCTCGATGTTTTTGAGGAATACATGAGCTCTTCCACGAGCAAAGCCCTCGTTTATGCCAGCACATTATCTGGTGCATGTGTGTGTTTACTCTAGGTCTCTTTGAAAGCACGTTTTCCTCATGCTAGTCTTTGTATGTTCTGAGCGCTTCTGCAAGACTCCAGCTCGACTCCTGCATCTTTTATTAAACTCCGCTTTGCTTTCCCAGGGTCGCATTTTTCCCTTACAAAAACTGTAGTTTCTTAACGTTTCACGCTTGGTGTGAACTTTATTTTTGTATTTGCGAGATATTCGCAGCCGCCGAATTGCTAGCTGCAAGCTAGCCCGCTTCACCCTCAGTCGGCGTGTTGGAGCTGCTGGAAAATGTCAGATTTTGACGAGTTTGAGAGACAGCTAACCGAAAATAAGCAAGGTGAGAAATAAATGTATAATTGTGATGAAAGTGAGGCCAAGTGTTACAGTTGATGTGGTAGTGGTCATTGAATGGATCGGTTTCCCTGGATGTTCCTGCAGCCTGAAGGGTGGTCTGCATCATATTGCACAGAAGGAAACTAGACAAATGTAGTGCTGTTGTGTCGTATGTGTGCTGTAAACCTAATTTGCAGAGGATGTGTGTTTGGTGGATGGTTTCACAGAGATATTGAGCTTTATGTTGTTGCATGCATGCATAAATAAATATGACCGGGTTAGTGCTGATCAGTGTTAAAACCTCACCAGGGCTTAGGTAAAGAATGTGATAAGTACAATGGCATCTATGCCTTACGTTATCTAGTTATATTTAGTTAAAGGCATAGTTCACCCAAAAATTAGAATTCATAATTTTTCATCAATATATTCTTTTATGTTCCACAGAAGAAAGTCATACAGGTTTAGAATAACATGAGGGTGAGTAAACAATACAGATTTAAACATTTTTGGTGAACTGTCCCTTTAAGAATTGAAATATCGCAGTGACCATTTTAAATAATTAAAACATTTCCCACATATAGACAACATGCTATTTCAAAAATATATGCTCTCATAAATGTACAAAATATCATTTTCAGCCACCAAATATTACTTTAACAAATTCAATTTCTGGTGCTTAGATGAGCATCAGCAAGCAGATATCAGTTTGAATAAACATACATGTTGAATTGAAGAAAATACTAATTTTATTCATGTTTTGTACATTGCTGTGCAACTCAAATGTGCAGCGGACCGAGACAAGGAGAACAAGCACCACCGGCGCAGTGGCTCCAGAAGTCGTAGCAGAGACCGGGACAGGAAGAGAAGGAGCCGGGACCGTGACAGAGAAAGGAGAGGCAGCCGAGAACGTCATGGAGATAGCAAGGACCGCAGACACAGACGCAGGTACGTTGGGGAAACATTTTAATTCGAGCCTGTACATTTTCAAATAGCGTCATTGTTGGTTTCACTTTCTCCCTGTGCAGTCGCTCCCCACACCGTGAGAAGAAAAAGATTAAAGTGAAAAAATATTGGGATGTTCCTCCTCCTGGATTTGAACACATCACACCCATGCAGTACAAAGCCATGCAGGGTAAGAGTCTGTTTTTCATTCTTTCCTTCTCTAACCCTGTTTACTCCTGCTGTGATTCATCTTAATGCAGTTATTTCTGGTTGTGCTGCCTTAAAATTGTCTGATTGAACAATATGTAATTAAAGCTTATAACTCTACAGTTCACAAGTTTGGGATCAGTATGATTACATTTTTTGAAAGAAATTACTACTTACTCAGCAAAGACGTATTACCGTAATTCCTCAAATAAAGACCGGTATTCAAATAAACGCCGGGCCTCTGATAGTGGCCGGGGGCGTGGTCAACGCGGACAAATAAAGGCCGGTCTCAAATTAAGGCCGGGGAAAAAATAGTGTGAATAGGTACACTTTAAATGAATGTACACTCAAAGACGGACGCGCTCAGCGCTTGTCATATATCACAACTATTAAAGTCCCTGTAAAGGCAATTTAAAAAAAAAATTCTAAACACATTATAAATGTTACAAATGTATTGATTAAACATATTACAAAGACTGTGAACTGTGAAGTACTGAATTGTGGAGTTAGACCGTTAAACAGTTTTTCACCATTGCTATTTTCCGGATTTTCTGGGCGGGGCTAAAACGGGGCTCGATGACGCACTGGAGCCCTTGAGCTCCTGGACACGCCCCTACTTGACGCACTAAAGCCGCTGAGGCTGGCCGCTCCTAACAATATTATAGAGCACATTCACATCAGTTTGCCGCTCATTCGCGAGTTACTGTCAGTACTATTATTAGTAACTGCCTACATATTGCTAGCTAGCTATGCCTTTGTCACGGAAATGCGTTACGTTACTACCTGGATGCGATCACCGGATCAGTACAAAACAGATCGGTGTACTTATTTACATTTCTGAAAAACGATTACATCAAGAAGAAGTGGATTAATTTTGTGAAGAGCCACCTTGATGGAGAGCTGAGGATCACCGCCAAAACCCACCTCTGTAAGTGATCATTTTACACGGGATAGTTTTATAAACTTTCATCAGAGACAACTGGGATTCACTGATAATCCGCTGTTACTGGTGAATGGGGCCGAACCGACTCCCGCCTGGCCTTCATCCTCCAGTCGCGCCGACAACTGGTGCCATCATCGGCAGTGCGTGCCCACCGTGCGAGCATCCATTTCGGCTGTAGAGTTGAGTGTGGCGACGGCAGCTTTCCCGCGAGTGGGCGTGGCTTCAGCACAGCCAGCGGACACGCCCCCAGCGTTTGAGAGCAGAGAATACTGCTCATTTTTTCAAGATTTTGATAGCTTATTTTATGTACTTGCTGGCTTTTTTTATCATTCAAATTTGGCTGGGTGACTAATAACACATTTTTCTGTGGTGTGACAAACTCAGAACACATACTTAATTTTGACTTTACAGGGACTTTAAGTGTTTTTAACCACATGTTTATTTTAGGTTTCAGACATTTAAATAGATATGATTTATAGCAAAACAATAAATTTATAGTTTGTAAAATACACAATGGTGTCTATGGAAGCAGCAATAACAATCCATTCAAATATATTTGGCGACGTGTTTTATTCATATCAGATGCACAGTGTAAGTAACTATAAAGTTTACTCTATTCTTCTCCCAGTTCACCGGCCACTTACTTTCATGTATTTCGGGAGAAACTGAAGAATTCACGCGCTGTAACTTAACAAATACAACAGGAATCTCCGAACTGCGGTGCCCATCTCACGTTACAGATCAAGATCATTTATAAAGGGTTTTAAACGACAAAACAAACTCACTTACACGGATTTGAGAGTCAGAATAGAAGATAGTTGATGACATGGTAAGCAAGTTTGTTAATATTTAGAAATAAAAGCGCTACATCTGTCATATAGCGCTATTTTGGCTGTGGTGAACACGTGCCAAGCATGATGCGTCACCATGGAAACTTGGCTGGCGGGCGGGCGGGGATCGCGAATTAGAAATAAAGGCCTGCCTCTAATAAAAGCCTGCTTCAAATAAAAGCCGGCTACCATCTGCAGTTCAGGTAAATAAAGGCCCCGGCCTTTATTTGAGGAATTACGGTAAATTGATCAAATGAGACGGTAAAGACATTTTATAATGTTACAAAAAAATCTGTTCAAATGCTGTTCTTTTGAACTCTCTATTCATCAAAGAATCCTGAAAAAAAATCAGTTTCCACAAAAATATTAAGCAGCACAACTGTTTATAATGATGTTAATAATAAAAAAATGTTTCTTGAGCACCAAACCAGCATATTGCAATCATTTCTCAAGAATCAGATAATACTGATGACTGGAGTAATTCAGCTTTGCCATCACAGGAATACATGTCTAACATACTTGTAAACCTTGTTCTTTGACTTCAGCTGCTGGTCAGATCCCGGCCACTGCTCTGCTGCCCACAATGACCCCTGAGGGTCTAGCTGTGACCCAAACACCTGTTCCTGTCGTGGGCAGTCAGATGACTCGACAGGCCCGGCGGCTCTATGTGGGCAACATCCCATTTGGCATCACAGAGGTGAGCTTCATTATTATCTGACATCCTTTAGTATTTTGGTGTAGTGGAACGTGTGATGATCTTTCCGTCAACGTTATGGTGAATCCAACTGTATTTTTTCAATCGTAGTACAACAAATTCTTTTTTTTAATGCTTTTATTTGTTCTTGCTCCAGTATGATAATAGCAGTGCTTTCTAATTTATTTTATAAATATAGGAGTCTATGATGGACTTCTTCAATGCTCAGATGCGTTTGGGTGGCCTGACTCAGGCCCCAGGAAACCCAGTTCTTGCTGTCCAGATCAACCAGGACAAGAATTTTGCCTTTCTGGAGGTCAGTCTTCATTCTCAGCAGTAGATCCTCTCAAAATTATTCCAAACATTTTGGGAGTGTAATATGAATGTTATTTTTATGTTTGTTTATACAGTTCCGCTCGGTGGATGAGACTACACAGGCCATGGCATTTGATGGCATCATTTTCCAGGGACAAAGTTTGAAGATTCGCCGACCACACGACTACCAGCCTCTGCCCGGCATGAGTGAGAATCCCAGTGTCTATGTCCCAGGCACGTCACTCTTTTGCTCCCCCAATTCTTGTACGCTCAATGTTTTGCTCTTTTCAGTCATAATTTCATTGAAACTTTAGTGATTGATTTAATGCGGATCATTTTTGGTCACACTCTGGTTCTCTCTCCCTAGGTGTCGTTTCCACGGTGGTGCCTGATTCGGCCCATAAACTCTTTATTGGCGGTCTGCCAAATTACCTCAACGATGACCAGGTTCGTGTTAAAATTGCATTATGTGGCAGCAAGTTCCGGTCACTGAGGGCTGCTGAGCTAACTATTGATTGGGCAGAACTGATTTCCCAGTATGTTTTATTTGCCATTATTCTGAGTGTAATTAAAGTAGAATTGTTTTGACCAAAGTTTTTCCATAACTTGGCATGGCTTGTTGTTTTTAGTGGCTGTGCGGTCCTTAACCCCTGATGACAACACCAGCTACAACAATGTGATTATGATAGCTTTTGATATTAGCATATTGATTATGATATTGGCAGATATGCTAATCTTTTGACTGTGCTAAAGTGAAAAAGCGTTTAATGCTTTACTAAAGGAAATATAAAAACTTTTCATGCTCCTCAGAACAGATGGATCCATGATATTAAAGCCTTTAAGTTCACATGTTTGCAGGGTTGCCATGTCTGCGTAACAAATCTAGCCCAGTTGCCAATCAGTAATAGCCCAAATATCAACATTTAAAATGTCACTCCACATACTGTACCTAAAATATATATTTTACAGTGACTGTTATGACTTCACAATTTCAACTTGTAGTAGTAAACATAAACGCAGTCTGTTTTCATAAAGGAGCTCGCTGGAGCACAAAACTTAACATCTAGCACAGTTTTATAATTGGTAGAATATAAAATATTTCAGGCAAATATAATTTATGCAATATGTCAAACCTTTATGCCGTGGGAAAAAAATCAACACGTGGCAACCATTTAAAATTTTCGCAAGAAACCGCTTGTCATTGTAAAAAACTATTTATTTTAAAAACTCAATATTTTGATTTATGATAAAAGTCTCTTATGCTCACCAAGGCTGCATTTATTTGACCAAAAATACAGTTATATTATGAAGTATTACATTTTGTAGTAGTATTTATTTTATTTGAAATGCGTGTTTTCTATTTGCATATATTTTAAAATGTAACTTATTCCGGTGATGGCAAAGTTGAATTTTCAGCAGCCATTACTCCAGTTCTGTGAATATTCACGCACATATATGTATAATATTTATATCAAAGTAATTTTAAGTTAATGATTTTTCTCTGTTCCACAGGTCAAAGAATTGCTGACATCGTTTGGTCCTCTGAAGGCCTTTAATTTGGTCAAAGACAGCGCTACAGGCCTCTCTAAGGGCTATGCTTTCTGTGAATATGTTGACGTCAATATCAACGACCAGGTGATTAAAAACACAAGCATTAAAATTACATAATCAGTCTGTCAACTCCCAGCAAATAACATAAGCTTATACAACACTATCTGAGACCCATCACCCAACACTTACCTTTTTCCTCTGCATGTAATGGGCTTCATCACATTACATATATGTACATATATTACATATACTGTTTAATATGGGCTGTATCTGTAGATCCAGATAGATAGAATAGAATGAAATAATTTGGCCAGGATTTATCCATGGCTTAGAACAGGAAATGAGCTAGAGGCGTGTCAGAGCTGTTAATTGACATCCATGTTAACCTCTCCAAGGCACACTGTTCACTATCACAGGCCATCGCGGGGCTTAACGGGATGCAGCTGGGGGACAAGAAACTCCTGGTTCAGAGAGCAAGCGTCGGCTCCAAGAACACCACACTGGTGAGGGACAGTGTGAATGTGTTCCAGTATCGAGTACCTTTGTGTGTGGTTGATGTGCTCAATCTCCTATTATTTCTCACTCTTGTCCCCTCTTTCTTTCATCTGAAGACTGGTATAAACCAGACTCCAGTTACCCTTCAAGTTCCAGGTCTCATGAACAGCTCGGTAACTCAGATGGGTGGCATTCCCACAGAAGTATTGTGTCTGATGAACATGGTGGCTCCAGAGGAGCTGCTGGATGATGACGAGTATGAGGAGATCGTGGAAGACGTCAGAGACGAGTGCTCTAAATACGGTCAGGTCAAGAGCATCGAGATTCCACGCCCTGTAGATGGCCTGGAAGTTCCTGGCACTGGAAAGGTTTGATAAATACATGTACATTTGAATGAAAAATGTAAAAGTAACTTGTTAAAACTGTTGTCCATGTTGTTTTTTTCTCTCTCTTTTTCCCCTTAGATCTTTGTGGAGTTTATGTCAGTGTTTGACTCTCAGAAGGCAATGCAAGGCTTAACAGGAAGGAAATTCGCCAACAGAGTGGTGGTGACTAAATATTGCGACCCTGATGCTTATCACCGCCGTGACTTCTGGTAGAGACTGGACTGAATCAAGAGCTAGAGAGACGCAGATGGTGTGATATCAGTCTCCCAGAAACCCCTTATTTTGTAGGTTTATGAGGTCTGAGAGGGTGTGAGCTTTCTTTTTAAATCTGGCAGACTAAAACATGACTTGTGATTGGTCAGAATGTAGCGAACCAATTATTTGTCATGTTTTTTATGTTGTTGATTGCAACACTGAAGTATGTGCAAAGCTATAAGATGGGAAAATAGATCGTACTACTGTATGTCATTGTCTACAGAAAAGGATACAGTTAGAGATGCCACTAAACTTCCAGCTTAATTTTGGCCCATAGTGATTTTACGTGTCAGTTTTCTTTCCCCTCAATGTTAAATACCTGCTCTATCATCTGTACAGCTCACACTTTTGAGCCAGACTGGTCAGATAGGAGTGAGAGGAGGATATAAAGAAGCAAGTGAGGGAAGAGAAATGATGACAACAACAGAAATGAATGTTACACTCAAACAAGAAGGTGAGGGGGTATTTGAGGAGAGAAGTCTTTGTTATTTTGACATGGTTTTTATTTTGGCTGTGAAATTAGGTTTCCTGTGTAAAAGTGCAGTTTAAAAAGCCAGATGAGTTTCTGGATTGTCTTTTGACACCACACATGTATGAGGTAAAGCTGTTACAGGCATCTTAGCTTGTAGAGTGTGAATATTACCAATTAAGTCTATACTGTCTTCTATCTTGCCCCTCCTCTCTTTTTTCCTGCTATCTCTCCTTCCTTTTATAATAGTTGTACTGTTTCTTGTGAACCCTATTTTCCTGGCCCCATCTAACCAAATTTATACACAGTGAAAAAGAAACTTGTCTCTTTTATTTTTTTTTATTTTTTTTTTATACATTCTGATTCTGTATCTAACTGTCCACTGCTGTTTTTTAAAACTGTAATAAGCTGAGTTGATTTAATACAATGCATTTATGTATGAGGACCAGAGAACCAATCTGGTGAAATAAACCCAATGCATTTGAATTGAATCGCGACACTCTGCATCTGTATTCTGCCAGCAGATAGTGCTAACAGGCACTGCTCACTAGTTCTAACTAGTTTATCACCGATACGGTATCTGAGTATTATGAGCAATGGGTTAGTCTGTAAGTCAGTCTGTTTTTAGACTCGGGGGGCCGTTATTTGGGGCTGGCGGGTGGGTGGGAAATTGGGATAGAGTGTTGTTTTTTTTTTTCTCAAATAAAAAAAAAAAAAACAGGAAAAAATATCAATGAAATATGTTTATTACCGATATTCATGTGCTTCTATGGGTTGACTGAAAACTATGAAATGCAGAGAATTAGAGATTATGGGGAGTTAAATGTGCTTCACAAATCCAGAAGTATGAAACTGAATAAAGTCCTCTGTAAAGGAGGAGGATTATTTATTGGGTGGTTAATTTTAATAGATTATAATAAACTGCTTTTAGCTGCTTGACCAAGGGTATGTGATATACGGTAATAAAAAAAATTTATTATGTAGAAAACAAATAACATAACTGTTTAAAACACATTATCTCCTAGTCTCAGTCGTCAGTGGCACAACTATGGACCACCTGATGCATGTTGTGAAAGATTTCGGAAAATATATTTTCAAACCTACCGTTACTTTTCAGGGAGCCAGGAAAAATTTGTTCACAAGCTCAACAGAAAAATATGGTTCAGTCAGCCCGGTACTTCTGTTTATTACTTATATGCCCTCCCACAAAAAATAAGCATTTTAATGTATTTACTGTAAAGTTTTTTCAGTAACACTTTATTTTACAGTGTCCTTGTTACATATGTTACATGTACTTACTATAGTAATAACAGTAAATTATGCATAATTACATGCAACTAACCTTCAACCTAATGCTACCCTAACCCTATAGTAAGTAGCCTACATGTAGTTGCTTAATATTACTCAGTACTTAAATATATAATTACACTGTAACAATGACACCTTAAAATAAACTTTTTACGCTTTTAACAAAAAAAATGGCACCTGGAAATTAATCACCTGCAATGTCAATAAATTAAACACTTCTGCTGGAAAATGATGGCATATGGTGTGAAACATACTGACAAATTGTTAGTTTTTGCAAATTTGTTAACACCATTTATGTTAGCCAGCTAGATGACATTCTCATGGAAACAAATCAGCAGTTTGCAACAATGTTGAATGTGACATTAATGGCATCAAATAAATAAGATACTCAAGTATAGTTTTATACTCTGTTGTTAAAGTTCAGTGAAATAGTGCTCATTACTTTGGAGAGATCATAAAGACTACAAATACTTTCTACTGATTTATTCAGGGCTGTATCTAAAACCATTTATGGAATGGCTATGGTGTTATATGAATAAACTACTACTAATGGATTGATAGAAACATGTTCTGTTGAATTATTAGTGACCATCTTTTTGGCTTCATTATTTTTGATTTTTACCTATCGATAATGACCCCAATATTATGTCTTACAGCCCTATCAGCTGCTCTCTCTCGCCTCATAAACAGTCCTCTCTCTCTTTTCTGTCTTTGCAACTGTAACTCCCACGCTCTTAATGTCATTAACAGGTGCTTGTCCAAAATAGAACCCTTGCCCATACGCGCGCGCGCACACGCAAACATCAGTGGATCAGCTGACATACACTCGACTTTGTTTCCCGCACACATGCAAAACTCACACTGACCTACACTGAAAAATTAAAAATCTTTTCATACGTAGAAAAATACTCTTGCTTGGACCATCTATTCATGCTTAAGCTGTCATGCAATCAAAATATCTTCAACTTGATTGCATGAGCCCCAGTCCCACTTTTCTCCACCCTCCACTTTCTCTTTTTTTCTCTCTTGCTCTCTTTGCGTCCGTCCTTCTACTCTCTCAGTTGAGTTTCATGTATCTAGTCATCAGATCTGCACCCACACAGAACAGGTCAGGATTTGATTGCTCTCACTGTTGCTAAAGCTTGATGGCTTTTCAATGCACTTACTGCACACATGTATACTGTCATAGTTTAATAAAATCTGTGACACAAACCTTACATTTAGTAGTTTTGTGTTGTGCAGCTGATTAAATTATGTATTTTATTATGCTCTCAGGAAGAGTGATTGCACATTTGATAACTTTGCGAACTTACTTTATTTATTTATTTTTCTCTAAAAATCTGAATCTAAAATGCATGGATGTATTGATATAAGTATAAATGTATTATTTCTGAACTGCTACAAGTGTAAATGATTTTGTATATTAACCTGAATTTTAAAAAAGTATTTATAATTCAGTAGTTTATTGCATCACATAATCACATCACTGTTAAATATGTGACTAGTTATGTTTGCATATGTCTAACTGTCTGATACACTATAAACCTTTAGGCAGTTCCATTGGTCTGGATGTAATTTATTGTCATAAGAGATGTTTATATATGGCTTCTGGAGTCTAAATCATGGATATAGTGTGTGAGTTTTGGGGTTGAAGCCCTTTAAAATTGTAACTTTAAAATTACGATTGGTTTCTTTCATTCTTGCTGAAAAAATGGTCTCTTGACTGAGATGTGTGCCCCTTAGTGTAGACTTTTTTCCTTTTGAGGCAACAACATATGGCAAAGTATAGTATACATATTACAGAAGCGTAACTGTTTTGAAGAAAGTTTTGACAGAGTCGGGGTAATTTAAAGAGCTGCGATAAAGGTGGAGATGATCTTGCTGGGTTAATTATAGCCTGTTACATTTCCAGGTCATGTTTAGTGTTTTGACAGTCTGCTATTTCTCAATGACTGTGACTTACAAAGCATAAAATGGCCCCAAAAACTTAATGAAGAACTAGTTTAATATCTGTGTGTGTAGTCATACTGCAAAATTCTTAATCTGGATTTTTAGCTTGTTTTCCAGTGAAATAACAGGCTTGTTTTCTGATATAAATTGACTTAAAGCTGAATATATGGAACTAAGTTGATTTTTCTCACCACATTTGCATTTTTATGTTTTACGCGTATTGTATTAAATGTAATATTTTATTATGTTTTTGAAAAGAATTATTTTATACTCAGCAAAGCTAAAACCTTTTTTTTTTATCAAAACAGTAAAAAGTGTAATATTGTAAAATATTATTACAATTTAAAATAACTGTTTTCTATTTTGATGTGCAGTCTTCAGTGTCGCATGATCCTTCAGAAATTATTCTAATAGGCTGTTTATTTAGTGTTGAAAATTGTTGTGCTGCTTAATATTTTTGTTGTTGTAGTGTTTTTTTTCTCGAATAGAAAGTTAGCATAATTTATGTGAAAAAGATATTTTACATTTTGTAACAACATTGTAAAGTGATCAGTTGACTTCAAAAAGTGAGGAAACCCGTTGCTTTAAAAATATTAAGTAAATAAACTTCATGAGTAACAGAAAAAATTAAGTTATGTGGAATCGTCAAGTTCACCTAATTAAATTTTTTCAATTATGCATGAAGTTTATGCTTAATTTTTAGGCAACGGGTTTCCTCACTTTTGAAGTTAAGTCAACTGATCACTTTTTACAGAGAATGTAAAAATCTTTAGAGTTACTTTACTTTGTGTACAACTATCATTGCCTAAAAAAAAAAAAACTTACTGACCCCAAACTTTTGAACGGTAATCTATACTTAAAAAAAATAGCGATTTGCCTATGGACTAAGAAAAATAAAGTTAGTTCAATATATAATCTCTGAAAGCAAGTATTAAATATAAAGTGATTTTGCATAAGTAAAGTGACCTTATTTTAAATTATCATTACTGAGTCATTTATTTTTGCTGTGATGCTAAAATGCTAATTTTGGTTAAAGACTATATTTTTAAATAAGATAAAATAAGCTAATTCATAAGTATATGCCGTGGCGTATTTGTGAGTGTATCATGCTATAATTTTGGCTATGGGCCACATGCTTATTTATTGCCTTGTTGTGGTCTTATTGCTCCCGTGTGAGTGATTGGCTTCAGTGAGCCTCGTCCTGTAATACTCCCTCCCTGTACGGGGACCGTGTTAACGCCTTTAGACCCTCTGTTGCTTTGCCTGTCACACATGAATTAACACCTACTCTGCTCCACCTGGCTCTCCTTTTCGCCTTTATTCTCAATCAACCTTGTGTTTCATCCCTCAGTCTGTTCCTCTTCCCGCTCTCGCATCTTTTTTTAGAATAGCAGAACGCCGCACACCTTGAAACTCTGTCCACAGATCTGATAGTTGTCTGTACACATAATGCTTGGGTATTTATGAGGCCTTAAAATGGCACAGATCAAACAGGCTGGGCTAAAGTGAGCTGGGTTATGCGGGTATGTGTTGTTATCTTAGAGTCGCATCTGGCATAGCTAATTATTAGACAATGTGACCTAATCGTGACCCATATTAACTTTCTCTGAAAGCAAGCTGCCTGTTTGTTTATTGAACAGAGGACAAAGGTATAATGTTGTTCTCCAGGTATTAGGGATGTTCGCTGTGCCACTACTAATTTTAACAGCAAAGAAAAAAAGTTCAGTATGAAAAGTGCGTTGTTGAATGTATACTGCAAAATGTCTTGTTTTCCAATAAAAATATAAGTGGGGTAAAAAAAAAAGAAAAGCTATTAGATATTTTCAAAACAAGTCTTATTAATATTTTTTTAAATAATAATTTTATAAATAGTAGTAGTTTTATAAATAACTCATTTAATTAGAATTTCTTAATAAGTGCTAGTTTTACTTCTAAATTAGAAAGTTACAATAAGGTCGAGTTTGTTAACATTAGTTAATGTGTGATGACTGAACATAAATAGAATATTTTTGAATTATTATTAAATCAATTATTTTTGCGGTAACGCTTTACAATAAGGTTCCATTATTAACTTTAGTTAATGGATTAATTAATAACTAACATTCACTAACAATGAGCAATACATTTGTTATAGTATTTATTGATCTTTGTTAATTTTAGTTAATACAAATGCAGATGTTTAGTGTTAGTTCATGTTAGCTCAAGTCCATTAAATAATATTAACAGTTTATTTTAACAATGTATTAGTAAATATTGAATTGAACATAAACTATGGTAAATGCTTTAGAAGTATTTTTCATTGTTAGTTCATGTTACTAATTAACATTAACAAATGGAACCTTATTTTAAAAGTGTTGCCATAATTCCTGTTCATAATGCTGTTGTAAATGCATGATACCTAATGCATTTTCTAATGCTAACAAATTCAACCTTATTATAGAGTTAGACTGAAATTAGTAAAGCATTAAAATTAGGTTAGAATTACAAGTATTAATTAGATGTAGTAAGCATCTATAGAATCTTGAATAAAGTTTTTCTAACCCATTGGCAAATTGTTTAGATTGTAGATCTCTTTATCCTTCAGTCTTTCTGCTACTTTTCATGTACTGTCTTTTGAAGACTTTTTTTTTTTTTTTTTTGCAGGTTCAACAAAAAGAGGAATGCATCTTCTTTTCACGGCTGTATAAGGCCTCAATCCAATGTTTCTCATCAAGTCGTTCTTTTCATCTACCCATTATTCCTGTCTAGTTTGTTATCAAACCTTCTCGTGTTTGTAGGCGTCAGTTAATTCCCACTCTACGTTCTTCAGAAATGACCCCCTGTCACTTGAATTTCTGGCACGCCGGTTTCTTTTTAAATCACAGAACATTGTAATTCTCTATCATTTCCTGTTTTTTTTTTTTTTAGCTTTCTATTAATATACTTCTCTGTGTTCTCATTATCTATCGGTCCAGCAAACTCCAGACTAATCTCTCTAGTCTCCTGTTTTTTTTTTTTTGCTTTAGTCATTTCTGGTTCTCCCCTTTCTTGACTTTGCCTCTGGGAGTTTTTCTCTCTCATTGCCATGTGGTCCAACTATTTCATTGCACACGACGAGGATGGGAGAGGAGGTGCGGCAGGGTTGGGTGGAGCTGGCAATAAGATGGGGCGTGCAGGTCAACGGCCGAGGGCCCCTCGAATGAGTGACAGCCAGGAGGGCAAGATCAAGCTGGCATTTTTTATCGCCCTCATAGGCGTGACTCTGGCGGTACTTGGCATGGGCACAGAGTTCTGGGTGGAGTTATCTGAGCCAAAACACTTCAGGAACAACCAGACGTGTGAGATGGCACATTATGGCCTTTGGAAATCATGCGTTCGCACACTATGGGTGTCAGATATTGACCCGGAGAGAGAGAGCTGTGGACCTGTAGAATTGCCTGGAGGTGAGAGCACTCGTTCTCTCTTATCTAACATACTCACTCACTCACTCACTCACTCACTCACTCACTCACTCACTCACTCACTCACTCACTCACTCACTCACTCACTCAATAGCTGCGTTTACATGGACCCTAATAATCCGATTGTAATCGAACTAGTAGCACAGTCTTCGGAATAGAAAAGTCATATGTAACCATGCCAGTCAGAATGAATTGGCCAAATCTAATTAAAATTTCTTTTGTATTGTATGGGGTGGTGTGTAAACTTAATCAGATTGAAACCCGAAACTGGAAAGTACTGCGCATATGCAATGACGTAGAAATGGCGTAATGATGTTTGACACGTGGAACGAGCTGTTGTTGTGGAATGAAGTGTCATAAATGACTGTCATGTCATTCTAAAATTCTGAAAAAAGTGGAGCAGGACAACATCCCTCCTAGTTTCAGCCTCAGAAGTCATGAAGTCGTCATCTGATTGGTTAGATTCTACAGGATTTCCGGGAGACTGGTGTGTCACGTTCTTTTATGGCCCACCTGGAAACAAAGCCATCATGACGCCAAAACTTATGGAAGAAGAAAGCCATTTAAAGCCACAACCGTGACAAGAATCGACTAAACGCTGGATTTTCACAAGTATGTGAAGTTCGCAGGGCCATTGTTGCAGAAAACTTGCACAATGTTTTTGAATGATTCATTTATAAGATGCCCTGTGATTGGTTGCTTTACATGTCAGTCAAGGGTCCTCTTAGGTTGCAGTGATGGAGCCCAGATCTTCTGCCGTCAGTCTGAAGGTTTGGCAACGCGAGACTACATCCACCAGTACTTTGCTTCGGACTCTCATCAACAGATACTGTGATTTGGGCGCTAGAAGGGGCGTTTTTACTGCTTGATAAATATAAACAGCACAGCACAATGGTTCATGTGCTCGACGACCTGAAATAGATACATATTTAGTCTGCTCTTTAAAATCAAGGAAAGAAGCCATATAGGAGAATGGTTAGTATGCGCAAACAGCGGGAAACTATATCCGTGCAGTGTGCGCATGTCAAAAAATCGAATCTGATTGGAAGCTTGTGATATATAAACCCGCACATCAACCCCATCGCTTTATTTAGTTTTCATGTAAACGCTATGTTCCGATTCATTCCGATTGAAAAAAAAAAGCTGTCCATGTAAACATAGCTGTCTATATTCAGAACAGCATACTATCATACTTCTCAAAATGCAGTATATGGTAGGATATAGTATGCAGATTTTCTGTATGATGACCTGCTGCATACTGCATCCCACAATGCAATGTGCTTGAATATGAACATATATGCTGTGAATTTTAACATCTGTTTCTTAAATCGACTCACTATTTAAATATGTTATGTATATATATATATATACACTACCGTTCAAAAGTTTGGGGTCAGTGAGAATTTTATTTTTATTTTTTGGAGGAAAGTAATCAATACTTTTATTTATCAAGGACAGTAAAGACATTTATAATGTTACAAAAGATTCTATTTCAAACAAATGCTGTTCTTTTGAACTTCCTATTCATCAAAGAATCCAAAAACAAAACAAAAAAACTGTACAACTGACAGACCAACAACTGTTTCAACATTGATAATAATAATAAATGTTTCTTGAGCATCAAATCCTCATATTATACTGATTTGTGAAGGATCATTTGACACTGAAGACACTGACACTGGTGATGCTGAAAATTCAGCTTTGATCACAGGAATAAATTACACTTTACTATATATTCACACAGAAAACAGCTGATTTACACTGGAATAATATTTAATACTATAACTGATTTTTGTTGTATTTTTAATCAAATAAGCGCAGCCATGGTTAGCAGAAGAGAATTATTTTAAAAGTATTTAAAATCGTACCGACCCCAAACTTTTGAACGGTAGTGTATATATATATATAGATATACCTTTATAAAAAATATTTTTGGGATAATAATGTAAAATGTAAAAAAATTAGTATTTAAAATGCAAAACTTTTTTTGTTTTGTTTCCAAGATATGATGATTACGCACATCTATTTCATTAGTCACCATAAAATCAAAATGGACAATTCTGATTTTTAATGGAATATTGCAGTGTTTATTATAAATGATTTATTCATGCACATCATTATTTTATTTTTTAATTCATGTGCCCTTGTAATCAATAATTAATATAACTTCCCCTCCCACTTGCAACAACATCTCTTCTCTGACGACCTACTTACTGTCGTGAAGGCGGGACGACCTGTCACTCACATGACATGACATGACAGCAATAGCAAACCACAAAAATCCAATCAATTCCAGATCAAAATCAAGTTCCTACATTTTCACTTGTTCGAGAAGCTATTTTACTCAGATATACATCACAATAGGGAAGAAAAGATAATGGGAACTTCCGTTTCATGCGTCATGAAACATGCAGCATAATGAGATTGTAGACAATAATGTAGCATAATGCTGTTTAAAACATTTCTTGTTGCATAATGTGTTCTGTTTTACATACTATTTTTAAAAAGTTGTATGCAGATTAGAGTGTAGAATTCAGTAATGCAGTATGATAGCATTCCATTCTCAACATAGCCACCATACACACCCTACCAATCCAGTGTTTGCGTTGCTCCTGGGAAACTGGAGGCTGACATCATGAGATAAAAAAAATACTAATCAATAAGGAAGTATGAAGAAATTATTAGACTTACTAAATGCATAAACAAAATCTGGTGTGTGTTTATACACTAAGAGTTTTAGAGTTTTAATAATATGATGTATTGTTCTTGTATCATGTATTGTTGGAAATGTGAACACATTATACGGCATACTTATATGTATGTATCTGGGTTAGCTGGAGCAACAGATCATGCATAATTATTTTTAAAGACACAAAGCAGCATTCAGCTCACGTACAGCAAAACAGGGATATTATTAATGACGGTTGACTTTCTAAGATGCCGTAAGAGAGGCTTAGTTTATCTAGTTCTGGTTGGTGATATTCATCTTACCTCTCACATAACAACACACATAAACAGAGAGCCAGAGAGTTTCATTTGCCTCAGTTTGTACGACTCAGAGAACTGTGATGATGTCTCTTGTAACAGTGCCATTGGTCCGACTGCCAGATCTGTTAAGGAACAGTTCCACTCTCTACTTGAACCTGTCATAACAGATCATAACACGACACCCCTTTAGCTGAGAATGCAGAACTGCACTTTTTTTTGGGCTATTTTTCCTGGCAAAGTTAGATAAAAGGGCAACTAGTTTGGTTTCTGCTTTGAACATTTAAATAAGAGATAACTAAACATTCTCAGTAGTTTGATGTTTGAACGTTATATAGAGATGACCTGCTTTCATTCTCGGTTATGGCTTCCATGATGCATTTTTAAGAAATCTGTTCAATATTACATTACCAGCTCTATGCTAATCATATCTTGTGCAGCTCTCAGCAGTGACCTTACTTGACTGTGTGTGTGTGTGTGTGTGTGCCTCTATTTAAATTAGCCTGTCAAATTAATTTGTATATATACAGTATATATATTTATATATATATATATATATATAAAATCTTTAAATTATATTTTATTTATCTAAGTATAAAGCAAAATTATTTTTAAAAACCCACAAATTTAATCATGCCCTGACCCGTACGTAAATAAGTGTGGCCATAAAAATGAATCTTCATAACATTTAGAAAATTGAAGATCAACTTTTTTTGACAAAGTGTCTTAAAATGTTACGCATATAGTGAGATATGCAAGAAATAACAGCAAGACAAAAACATCAGTCTGACTCATGTGTACTTAAAAAATTGCATAGACGGAGAATGCGAAAATGTGTTCTGTGTGAACTGACCCTGAATCAACCTCGAACAAATTGACAAAAAATAGATTGCCGTGGACCGTAGGTCAGTAATAGGTTTATGCTCACTGATGTGAAAATAAAAAAAAACAATATATTGACTTCTAAAGACACTTTATGTATGTCTAGTTAAAGTGTATCCGTATATATATATATATGGATGTTTTCCTTATTTTGTTATACCGTCTAATTAATTGGATTTTTATCTAATCTGATAAAATCCAGGGCTGTATCCAGGGCTGTAATTTGAATAAATAAAAATTTGGAGTGAGCACACATTTTTCCAATGAGGGTAAGTTCTGAAAAAAAGATGGGTCACAGTTATAGCAGAAAGGTCAGTCATATTGCACAAGGAAAAACTGCAGTCTGACTGCTGCCTGGTTGCAAGTCTAAATATAGAAGACATGAGAGAAAAATCTGGAAATATAAGTAGACAACAGACTAGCTGCAGAGGACGAGAGAGAGTGAATGTGGATTTTATTTTGTATACATGCTTGAGTCTGTTCTCTCTTCCTTGTTCTGCCCTTCATCTTCTCTTTCCATCTGCCTCACTCTCATTCCCTCCCTCTCCATCTGCCTCGCTCTCTCTGTCTCTTGTTCTTTCAGTGCCATATGTGAGAGGGCTGCTCTGTGTCCTCGACACATTAATACACAATGACCCTCACAGGGCTTACAGCAGACAGCTCAAGTGCCTTCTTCTGTTTCTCTGACTGATTTTATTCTTCACCTTCTCTGCCTCATTCTTCTTCCTCACTGTCTCATTTTTCGCCCTCAGAATCGAACTGCACATTCTTTAAATTATACACTTCTGGAGAGAATGCTGTCATATTTAAGAAAACGACACAAAAAAGTAAGTTCTTACTGTATCCTCTGCCCTCTTTTCTCTCTGCCTTCTATGTGTCATTTCCCTTTTTGCTCTCTCATCTATTCATTCTCTCCCCTTCCACGCTGTTTCTCTCATTGAAAATCAGTCATGTGTTTCTGTCTCCTCCCCCTGCTCCATGTCTCTCCAGCTCTCCACCTCCCATACTGTGTACATGCAGAAGAATGTATCATTCTTGAGCTCCTTTCTTGTTCAATTCTTATTTCAGTTTACATAATTACTGAATGCCCCGATAAAATGCACTGTATACCCAAACGTATCCGGACACAGGTTTGGCTAGGCCAATTAAAGGTATAGTTCACCAAAAAAAATGCAACTTCTGTCATAATTTATTCACCGCCATGTTGTTCCAAACCTGTATAACCTTTTTTCTATGGAACACAAAAGGACACATTTTGAAGAATGTAGTGGTCACTTTTGCAATGTAATTACACACAAAAAGATGCAAAATCACTATAAGACACAAGCTATATTTCCTGTCCTCTGAATTAATATGATCAATTTGTGTGAGAAACAGACTGAAATGTAAGTTATTTTTCACTTCCACCAGTGGACTGTTAGTTTACTGTTAAACTTCTGATCTGATCCTGATCAGTTTGATTCATGACTAAAAGATCTGACTCAGAAGAGCAATCCGTCCATGATTTAGATATTGCTACTTCTCTTCAAGCATGCCGGTGACCTACAATCAAGATTTCCAGTGAATTATGGCTTAAATTTTGGTCTATTGCTCAATTGAAGCTTTTGTATGACTTCAGATGGCTTGGAATATAGCACAAGTTTTATGATAGTGTTCTGTTATTTTAACTGGTAGAGCATGATGCTAGCGATTTACTGAATCCAGCCTGCTTAAAGCTCAGATTGAACCTCATTGAACACCTTTGGGATGAATTGGAATGCCGAACATGTGCCAGATCCCATTGGCCAAAATCAGTCCCTTACCTCACTAATGCTCTTCTGTCTGAATGGGAGCAAATCCCTTCAGCCATGTTCCAGCATCCAGTGAAAAGCCTTCCCAGAAGAGTGCAAGCTGCTAGGGAGGGCCATTAAGGCCAAGGGTTTTGAAATGAAATGCCCCTGGGTTTGGTTGTCCACATACTTTTGCCTATATTATAAAATGATGGAGACTTTTATTATCAAGTATAACTTTTGTAACAAGTATAACTCACTGCTTACTTTGTTTCTCTCTTAGGTTTGCATATAACAGGTGCAATATTGGCTTTGTTCAGTTTGTTTCTGATGGTCATGGGCTCTCTGTGTATCACTATGTCTCTCAGTAAGAGTGTGCCCTTCTTCCTCAAGCCTGCAACCATCTGCTTCGTTTCCTCAGGTACTTTTCAAACACCTCATATAACTGCATCCAATGACTTTAAAGGTCCCCTGACATGGGGTTGTTTTATTATTTTATAATGTTTCCTGGGTTGCCCTTATAATGTTAGTATGTTTTTTAGATCAAAAATAGTCATAATTTAGAAATAAAAGGCATTTTTCCTAGCCTGATTTTAGCCTCTGATTTGAACGCTCTGTTTGAAGGGGCGTGTCTGCTGTGGGATTCAGTGGAACCGCCCACTACTGTGATTGGCTGACATGCTTGCAAATGAAATAGCTACATATTACATGTGAAACTGTCTCGAATACTTTTACTACAGCTATTATACGTTTTTACTATAACAGCTATCGAGATTAACGAATCGTGAGAAGTTTTTAAAGTTTTTAGATCTATTCCCATCACATAAAATGTTGCCGTGATGAGCATTGAGCAAGCAGATGACAGTCTGTTGATCGCGAGAATAAAGATCTTATCATTGCAACGCAGTGTCTGCACTCTCTCTAATGCTTTCACCAATGCAAACACGATGATGTACATACAGTAAGAGCTTCGTTGTGCAGTGTAACGTGCGTCATTGATTTCAAAACGAGTTGTCCAGATAAACTCGCGCTGTGTGGAAAGATTGTTCTTTGATCGCTTTCTGTATATAATTTGTTCACAATTTAAATAAGATTATTTTCATCCTACTAAAAGAAACGATGTAAAGTTGATATTTTAGTCACTGGCTTGACTTACTGATGCATAAACAGTATTGAACGATTTTGAGAGAAAGATTACCTGTCTGAACTTGAACAATTAGGCTACACATCAGAAATTGTTGCTTGGTAGCTCGATGGATTTATTTTCAGACGTTCATCGAGGCCAGCTCTGTATTGGCCCAAGTTGAGGAAACAGTCGTCGGTGAAATGTTTGGACCATACAAAACTTTGGAAAGTTGTGTCGGCGCATTTCCAGAGAAAATAAAATTAACCCAGAGGCTAACTTCAGAGGCTCGGATAAAGGATCTAAAAAATACTTTTGTGTTCATTTGTACATCCGAACACTGATCAACTGCCATGCTTCGCTCGTTTGCAAGCCATGATATCTCTCGAGGAAAAACTCAAATCGCGCTCGCGCGTTCGTACTTCCTAGCTCATTTTCTCATGGGCGAGCCAAATTCTCTGGGCGGGCAAAGCAGAGAAAGGGGAGGTTACCTTTCCTCCGTATGACGTCATACGGAGGAGATTCAAGATCAGCCTGTCTGAGCTTTCATTTTCTCAAAGGCAGAGAAAGATAGCCAAAGCTCGGTTTACACCGATTGAAATTTCTAGCCACTGGGGGACCATATACAGGCTAGGGGAACTCATATTAATGTTATAAAATTTCATGTCAGGGGACCTTTAAAACACACCAGCACCATTAATTTGCAGTAAAACTGAAGTAGCTAGTTATGGAGGAGGCTACATTTTATTAAGGCATCCTGTGAGTCAATGTTCTAGACTAGACTAGGATTGGCAACGGTCTAGTGCACTATGCCCCATTGCTGAGATTCTGAGCTCAAACCTCAACCATCCCAATTTCAGGCATCTCAAGAAATACAGCTGGCCTTATTTCAGGGTCACCTCACTAGTCAGGTGTAACCACTGATATTCTATGATTATTTTCTTTAATTCTTTATTTATTTTTATTTCGAACAACAAAAAATATACAATCAATTAAAATAAAATATACAAATACAAGCATACATTGCAACATACTGAAAGAAAAAAAACAATATCTATAAAGTACTATAACAATAATTACAATATATTCAAATATGTTTTCACTTAGGGGTAAAAACAAGTTTTAAATATCTTTCGAACATGCCGTCCACAATGCTGAGAGCATCATTTAGATGAATATGTAAATATGTGATCCATGTGTTCCTCTCGATGACAAAATAAACACACAACAAAAAAAAACAGTGGTGAGAAAACAGCAGTTAAAGGGATAGTTCGGCCAAAAATGATATTTAACACATGCATTACTCACCCTCAAGCCGTTCGAGATGCATATGTCAATCTTGTTTCAGACGAACACATTTTCAGTTATTTTAGAAAATGTCTTAGACCCTTCAGTGGATATAATGTGAAGCAATGGGGTCCACCTCCTTCAAGTCCCAAAATGTGCATACATCCTTCACAAAAGTAATCCATCCGGCTCCAGGGGGATAAACGAAGGCCTTCTGAGGGTAATCCGTGCGGTTTTGTCGTAAAAATATACATATTTAAAACTTTATAAATGAAAATATCTGACTTCCGGCAACCAACGAAGCGCGTTCACGGGTGAACTGAGTGTAGTTTTGTTTTGCTCTGCACTCTGGCTGCGCAGGCGCATTCGTTCTACGTCACGCCGGTTCCTACGCTACGTCATACCTCGTACGCCGACTTCCATCACCCGTGAACGCGCGTCGATCGTTGCCGGAAGTCAGATATTTTCATTTATAAAGTTTTAAATATGTATATTTTTACGACAAAACCGCACGGATTACCCTCAGAAGGCCTTCGTTTATCCCCCTGGAGCCGGATGGATTACTTCTGTGAAGGATGTATGCACATTTTGGGACTTGAAGGAGGTGGACCCCATTGCTTCACATTATATCCACTGAAGGGTCTAAGACATTTTCTAAAATAACTGAAAATGTGTTCGTCTGAAACAAGATTGACATATGCATCTCGAACGGCTTGAGGGTGAGTAATGCATGTGTTAAATATCATTTTTGGCCGAACTATCCCTTTAAGCAAGCATCTGATCATAGCGACATGGATATGTTTGCACCAGCTCTGCAATTCGGCACTCCAGTCAAATCATGTCACGTTTATTTATAGCACTTTGAGCAAGCAGCTTTGCGTAAACATAAAAAAAACAGTGCCTCTTTCAATTGGAATTGCTTCAGTTAAACTTCAATTTCTACTATAAAGCAGCTCTTCAGCGGACTAAACAGAAGAAATGATTTCTACCCATTACGTAATCACCATGGATCAAAGATAGTTTGAAGGTGTTTTCCAGAAACTGTTACCTGATTGTATTGACATAATCTCACACCAGTTCGTTCTTTAATTTAGCTTGAAATATATGGGAACTTTCATAGTCCCATGTGTAACGGAGTAAAACCTCACCCCCCTGATCTCAAGAGACGCTCTAGCAAGTGATGCTAGGGGCTGCAGTCTTTAGCCTCCTTGTTAAAGCGCCTGACTCACACGCCGGAGACCCGGGTTCGAGGCCTGAACAGAGCGGGGCGAGTAGGACCTGGGTGAGGGGTTACACATGCAGCTCCAGACTGAAACTAAAATAGAAAATTCATAAAAAATGGCAACAATAAGTTAAAATGTAGTTGCCTACAGGAACAGGATAAAAAATTGGAACTAATTTACATGAAATGCAATAATATAGAAAACACCCTCATTTATATAACTTGTTATAGTCTATATATTAAAATGTCCCTTCATCACAGCACACAAGCTGTTACAAGCTAAAGTAGGAAGCGCTTTTGGCTAATTTATCACCTACAAATATAATTTTGCTCCTAAATGTTTCATGTTGATTCGAAAAAGGTGAACTGTTCCTTTAATGAAATGACCTTTCATCTCTCCACTTTCCCCAGGTATCCTGGTCCTGTTGTCCATCATTGTTTTCCACCAGTCTGTGCTGGCTTTATTGGCAAGCGATCACAGTATCCCTCTCCATCACGAGCTGTCCTGGTCAGTGGCGTGTGTTGGCTCGGCTGGGGCCATTCTCATTTTTGGAGGGCTTATGTTCCTGTTGCTTTCCCTCCCCAACAACCCCCTGGAGAAATGCTTTCGTCAGCAGAGCAGTAGTGATACCTAGCTGTCCGAAGGACTGCCAGTGAGTTAAGTAGCAGAAGATCTTTTATACTCTTATGCTGCTTGGGGAGATTAACTGATGTTGTAAAGGACTCTCAAAAGCTAATGTTCATAATGTTTTGCAATAACCTGCATTAGAATTAACCTGGCCCTTGCCAGATGAATTTCGCTCCGCCTAGCTTCACTCACATCCATCTGGAACCGATCCATTGAAATGGCGTTTCAGAAGGCTGGGCCTTATCAAAAATCCTTGCATATGATTGGATAAGGCACTTGTCTGTCATCTTTATCGACGTGCTATTTCAACCACTCACACCGAAGCCAACCCGTGACGCTGAAGAATCCGGTCGGGAGAAGGCACTGATCTATTAACATCATTTCCACCAACAAAAGCCTTAAGAGCCGTTCTCTGATGTTCTTTTAATGAAACAATATTAGGTAGATTGGACAACACGGATGAAATCAATGTTAACAGCATCAATGTTAACGCTTGTTTCCTCGATGCGAGCCGCCATTGTTGTCTGAATCAAAACAGTCTCACGGTCGCTTCTCCACTACGTCACATCTATGAAACTCCCGCCCTGCGTCCTGATTGGCTAAACCATAAAGTTGGTTGGAGAAATCACTCTCAATGGAAGAGGTTCCAGATGGATGTGAGTGAAGCTAGGCGGAGCGAAATTCATCTGGCTAGGGCCAGGTTACATTAGAATTGCTTATGAATAAGAGTATAGACCTTAATACACATATACTGAATTTGAACTGATATTTCTATGATGGCTCTGTACATAAAATCAGTGACCAACAGATCTGTTTACTATCTTTAAAGGCTTCATTTACACAACTAGCCATGCTATTATGCATTGTTCATTTATCTGCATTGCTAATTTGTATAAGAAACCTGATTTATTTACTTGCTATGTAAAACTGACTTCTGACTGATGGTTTCTGCAGGTTGAAAGTGTAAAACTGTTTCTTTTTTTAAAAATGCCATCCTATCTATGCTAAAGGATAGACAATTCATATCCTTCCTCTGTTTCGTTATCCATGTAGCTGTGGTGTGCACTTCCCTATTCTCATAGAATTAGGGCCCATTCACCAAGAACGATAACTATATTAGCGTCCACACCAACGCATGATAACATTCTGTTTATTATGAACAGCGTGCTGCAGTTTTTCGACTGTAGCTTTTAATTAAGTCTTCAAAGAGCTCAAGCAATTGAAAAATGAATTGATCAAAAATCTGTCTCTATTTAGTTAGCAACGCCCAACTTCCTACAGCCCAATCAATTCCTGAAGGAAGAAATCAAATCCCGCTCTACATTTTTCTTATTCAAGAAGCCGTTTCACTCACAATAGGGAAGAAAAGATTATCAAAACTTCCGTTTCATGCCGACTTTAAAGTTGGGTGGATTCTGATTGCCTGTCAATGTTTTTATCGTTTATCATCTCTGAAAGTGATCCCAACTATATCGTTCCTGTGTCGTAATCGTTATAGCTACGGGACTTCTCTATTTTCATGGAATTAAAACATTAATTAAAACTTTACAGTTATATTGCCTTTTTTTGTGAATGGGCCTTTAGAATGATTATTTAAAGTTTGTAGTTAAAGTCGTCATAGATATCGTCCTTGGTGTGAATGGACGTTAACAGGGATTGATGCTTAAACACTGAAAATACCAGCTTTCCAAGTTGGTGTATGCTAGTTAGTTGTGGCTTGTGAACCATCATAGCCATGCTGTTTAGCAAAACTTGGCAGGTGAGCTTCGTTGACCAGAATTATCTTTATGGTGAAGCTGGTGACCAACAAAGTCTTGCTAGTTAAGCTAGTTAAAAAGCCTAATGGGGACATCAGCGCAATATATGCTGGTGACCAGCTACAGAGATCCCAAAAAGTAACACTTTTGGACACGTTTAAAAATGTGAAAGTAATTTTTAGCTTCTATTGATTTATAAACCTAGCAACTTTTTGTGACATCTTTCTTTACAGGGTTAGTTCACCAAAAATTAATATTCTGCCATTAATTACTCACCCTCATGTTGTTCCTAACCCATAAGACTTTCGTTCATCTTCTGGACACAAATGTAGATCTTTTTGATGAAATCTGAGAGCTTTCTGTCCCTCCCTCCATAGACACCTACACAACTACCACTTTGACGCTTCAAAAAGTCTATAAAACGGATTAGTCCAAATTTTCTGAAGAGACTCGATCACTTTATATGATGAACAGATTCAATTTAGACTTTTATTTACATATAAACATTGATCAGCGAACATAAAAAGAAGCTCAACCGAACCTGCGTTACACACGAGAATGAACCTCATTGGTTCTCACAGGTCAAGTGAACATGCTTGAGCTTCCGTTTATCATAACTGATGTGTGAGTTGATGAATGTTTATATGTTGTGAATAAAAGCCTAATTTAAATCATCTCATCACGTAAAGCGATCGTGTCTCTTCTGAAAACTAAACCGCTCAATTCATATGGATTAGTTTTACGATCTCTTAATGAACTTTTTGAAGCGTCAAAGTGGTGGTTGCGTAGCGGTCTATGGAGGGACAGAAAGCTCTTAGATTTGATCAAAAAGGTATTCATTTGTGTTCTGAAGATGACCGAAAGCCTTACAGTGTTGGAACGACATGAGGGCAAGTAATTAATGACAGATTTTCATTTTTGGGTGAACAATCCCTTTCAAATAAATGCTGCTTGGTTTGATATTTTGCTATAAATTCAGTATTTATGCATTTAAATGTCCAAATACTTTTTGGGATCACTTTATACTGGTCTTTTCGGCTGGGTTTTCAATTAACAAAGTAATCAGCAGATTAGATATCATAGATTTCAATGCATAGATTTAATTTACATTATATAAATGTAAAATGATGCTTAATACTGTACATGAAACCGATGTGTGTGTATAAAAATGATGAATGAAATGTATTGATGTGGATGATACAGACCCGTTGTTGAGCCACACTGTTATGTAAATAATGTATTTATATTGTACTCCAGTCGAAATGAGAGCACCTTGTCCTTATACTGAAGATGCTGTCCTTCACTGAACTTTCTTCATCTCCTTCTTTCTTATATCTGTTCTTCACTTGGTTGTCTGTGCCACTCTCTATTCGTCACGCTCTTTCTCGTTCACTAGTTTTGCTTGAGGATTAAATCTCTTTCACCTAAGACAGTCTCCTGCACTCCTTCCCTCGCTTGTTTCTTAATCTCACTCCTTCTCTTTTGCCTCTCGCTCATTCTAAAATTAGTGCATGGCTCATCTAAGCACATCATGTTGAAGTGGATGAGAAATATTATCCTGGTATGTCAACCATGCCCACCCTCGACGTTCTCTCGATGTTGATCGCTCTTGGGTGTCTCCGAGGGTTTGGGTGGAGCTGCTGTTTCCCTGCGTCTGCCGTCCCGTTCCTCCCGAGTGTTTGTGAATACAGTGTCAGTACATTTGGGAAGTGAGGAAAGGTCTGAGCCTCAGTAATCTGCATGTCTCTCATCCAGTCTAACTAAAGCCTCCATCCTGTGAAAAACAATCTAGATATCCGCAAACCGCAGAAATGACAGGTGGCGAGTGTGTTCCTGGAGCAACCGTCTCGACATGTCCTACTACAGTATGCTTATAATTGGCCCTTTTAATTTGGGGAATCTGTATTGGGTCTGTAGAATAAGAGCACGTGGCTTGATCAGCTGGGGGAGTATGGGTGGGTGCAGGAGTTGGGAAATTGGAGCCTCTAGGTTGACACTGAAGCCAGAGGTCTGCTAGTATATATAGCCCTTTAATAGTGCCTGTCAGACTAACGGGCTGTTCTTTCACTTTTTATGTGTCCACCAAGTACATGGGGGGAATAAAACAGGATCTGCTCTCACAGTGAAACTAATTGTTGGTCGGAACAGAAATGAATGCATGTGTGTGGGTGGGTACAATAAAACACTCGATAGCCAGTCTTCCAATAGTAAAAGAACTGGGGTGGTATGTGATGGTTTGCCCATCTGGAAATTAGAGGAAAAAATTGGGTCAATACCGGTAATCATCTTCCAAATTTACACACAAAAAAAGTAGCAAAATCCAAAAATGATTCTGCAAAACATCTAGATTACCACTTAAAGGTCTGTTAAAAGGAGGCTAGAGGGTAACAGTGTATTATTAGTGTATTATTTTCATGTTTGTTTTTTAGAACAGTGGTTCTCAACCTTTTTGACTCTTGGCCCTCCATTGTTTACAATATTCAAAGGCCCCATGACTTTCCCATTTGTTTGTGATTTACTGGATAAAGATTAAGGACATGGATTTTTACTCTCAATTTCTACACAATAAAAATGGTGAGCATGGCATAACTAGAAAATGTTATATTCATTATAAAAAGATCCATGGAATTGTATTCATTTACATGACTTTCCAGTTCTAGAAATCACACAAAAATTAGGCTACCTTATATATACAGGTTTTCAAATACCATGAGCATCCTCATTCTTTAAAGAAAAATTAAAAGATAAAAAAAACGAACTGTTTGGAGGTTAATTAAAATGAGAAATATCTTGATTTTTGCCTATTTTAATGCGTTTATTTGAAATAATTTTGGTTGAGAATCCCTGCATTATGATTATGAAAGCTCATTTTGTCCTCAGAGTAAAAAAAAGAGCATTTCTTACCGACTTTATCTCATAATTGCAACTTTATATCTCACAATCGCGACAATTTTTTCAATATAATTGCGCCTTTGAACAATTGCGATGTGACTTGTATTTTAAACTATTTCAATTATCTAGTTATATTTTTTACTCTGAGGTTAAGATGTTCTTCCATAGAAAACAATTTTGATAAAGTTAATAAACTTCTAAGGATCAAGATTTTAAAAGACACAAATGACATCACTCGTAGATTGTCTGTTGTTTCTTTTATATATAAAATCCGTGCAATACAGTGTTAGAGTTTATCACACATTAAGATAAACCATATTTTCTCTAGATATATCTATTCTCCACTACGTAATATTTATAACTAAGCACATAAATGCTGTCTGTGTGTAGTTTTTCACATTTTTCATGAATTAAAAAAGACCCCCGATTACAGGAGATTGTGATTTGATGCCCATTTGCACTCAATTATGTAATGTCCTGTGTTGACCTCTTGTTGGCTGGGATCATGGAATAAAGGTTAAAGGTTAGCAGAATGTCCACATATATAATCTCTCATTTAGAGAAGCAGACGGGTCAAAGGGAGTCAGGTGCAGCACAGTGAACGTTTGTTTTTGTTTTTTGTAAGGGTTTTTTTTTTTTTTTTTTTGGGAGGGGAGCTTTGCCTTTGGGATACTGTCATGATCACATGACACAATGGAGGGAAAACACAAATGACACAGGGCATGCCCCAACATAGAGTGTAGCCCAATCAGAGCTCAAGGAAGACCAGTGTCCTCATACATATTCAAAAAAGCCCCGCCCACCCATTCTGCCCTCTCCAATACATATCTGTACTCTGGATTTTAAAGTCTTTTTCTTTTTTTTTCTTTTTTTTCAAATGTGTAATATACATTTGCATTTCAAAATGTATTTTTTTCAGCCTCCCTCCAACTGCAGACCTGTCGATTTACAATTCAAATGGTCCTTTATTGTCCCCGCCCATTTGAAAAGCACAGTTTTGGATAGAAGTCATTTTCTGAATGTCATTCACCATTTTCTCTATACAAATATATCATCTGTCCCTCTTCGACTAAGTGAGGGAATGTTTTAATGCCCCAAAACAAAGATTTTCAATTCAACAAGTGCTACTTCTACTGCTAACAGTGATTTTAACAAAAATAATATGATGGTAGGTTTATATAAAAATCTTTTTCATTTGAACTCTTCAGTCCATCAATTATGGTGCTGATCTGTTTACTGAGCTGGAAGACAGATATACAGATATTACACACTAAATTGCATGTTATCAAAGGGTAGAAAATAAAACTTTCATTAAAATAAATAAAATGCTTCTCACAAAGTTAGTTGTAATAATAATAATCTCATTCTCACAATACACTCATGTTTCTGCAGTGCTCAGTATCACGTTTTTGAATCACAGTCAAAATCTCGTCTTTCTAGTTTAAAAACTAGAATCATTTATCAATGTGTAGAGCTAGCAGTTCAAACGTACTCATGATAACAACAACACTTCATCGTCTTGGAAATTCTACGTCTTTAAAATCAAGCAAAATAATAAACATCACAGTATCCCATGATTATAGTTTCATTAAGAATAAACAACATGTTATAAAACAGTACTAAAAAAAAAAAAACATGAATGTTGTTGTTATTATGAGATGTTTGTCATTCTTTTACTCTTTATTTTTTCATAAAGTGAAACATTTTTCAATACTGAGAGAGTTATCCTCTTTTTTTAGTTGTTTTCCCAGTCTTTATCCATCTAAGTTATCTCTCGCTTTTGCACTTTATCAACTACTCCAACCCTCGATCTGTCTAGACTGGTGTAGTTTTCCTATTTAGCGTGTTGGAGTTACTCTCTCTGTCACCTTTCCCTAGCCTATCCAGCGTCCCCATCCCTCGTTCCCTCTCCACCGTAGAGGAGGAGAAAGGTGGAGCCTGGGAGGATGGGACTGAGTTGCCGAGCGGAACATTGGAGTTGGAAGAATTCTGGACCACTGACGGATTGTGGGATTTTAGCGAGGGCAGCGTCCCACTCATCATCATGCCTCCTCCGCCCCCTCCGCTCTCTTTAGGGAAGCAGTTGTGCAGCTGGTATAGTGTGGCGCGGTCCACCGTGCCGTACAGCGGAGGGGCGCCCAGCCCTCCTAAACCACCCAGTTTGGGGTCTCGGGAGAGGGTGTAAAGGGAAATATCACCCCCTGGCAGAGCGGAGCGGGAGTGGGGGTTGGGAAGAGTGGACACCGAGATGGGCCCCTGGGAGAGTAAAGCTGACGGGGCCATTCCGAAGTTCTTACCCCCCGGAGGACCACCCACGGGGGACGGGTCTCGAGAGCGCGAAGGGTCGGTGGATCGAGAGCTGGAACGCGATCTGCGGCGGAAGCGGTAGCTCGGGAGTCGTAGCATGGCGTGAGTGGTGCTCTTAAAGATATCGGTGCGAGAGCGACAGCGGAGCTCCTTGTTCTTCTCGATGTAGATGTTTACCGCCAACACACCCACCATCTCAGCCAGGATGAAGGACAGCCCACCAAAGTAGAAGGACCAGCCGTAGGAGTACTGCCATTTCTTATCCTCGTCCTTCTTTGGGGAAATGTCACCCAGAGCGGCAGAAATGTACACTATCACACCGATGATGTTACTCAGGCCTAAAGATCAAGGGTCAAAAACATGCCAACTGATCAAAATGTGTTGTTGCTTCAGGTGATATGCAGCTTTTGTTTGCAGAATAACAACGATTCAGAAGCACTTGCAGTCTAATATGGCAATTGACAAACAGATTTCATCAGATACATTTTACAGTAATATTGTGGATAATTCTGTACAGGCACAAGCAATTAAACACATTTTATAATGAATTCTGTGTTTTCTCCTATTACACATTGGGGTCCATGTCATAATGTCAATTTTACATATTTTTTTCCAATAAAAATATATTATCAGTAAACAGATTTTTACTGAAAAATCTACTGGACAATTAACATATTATTCTATATTATAATTTTAACCATTTTTATTTATGCATGACCGACGCTTTTATCCAAAGCGACTTATTAATTAAATGTGTATCTCAAATGCAATTTAAGTCTGTTTGGAAGAAAGTGTCCGTTGTAATAGATATGTGCATCTTGAATGCAATGTAAGCTAAACCTTATATTAAATTATATATATAATCTTTAAAGCATTATGAGATAGACATTATATTAAATGATGTATTATATAAAATGTAATATATAACTTAATATAATGTCTAGCTTACTTTGCATTTAATTCTTAAATATATAAGATATATGTATGACACGTTTTTGTAGTTCTGGCAAATATTAGGTGTAATCTGACATTTACTCCAGCACCAATACATGTACACACACTGCACACACTTTACCTGCTGCTACAAACAGAATGCCAGCCCCCAGCACGATATTCCTTTTGCTCTTGTAGAAGCGACTGGCTGCGATACAGACCCCTCCCATTAGCAGCAGGATGGCACTAAGAATGGGAAAGATGTTGGAGGCCCGGACCACTCCTGCAGGGAAGGAGAGAATAGCAGAGTAGAGTAGAGAGACAGATGGGAGGGTGAGAGACGGAGAGCATCATAAGCGTGAGACGTGATGAGTGCAGGCCAGTCAGTTCTGTTCAGGTCTTTAGCCCTGTGCATTTGTATTTCCACACATTTTTAGATATAAATATTAAGCTAAAATGAGGCACCTGGTTAATTACATTATGCAGTTGTGCTCTCTGTGAAAAAGCCCCAGAGGAAAAATGTTCCCCTGGCAGTTGGGCATCCCATCTGGGACCAGTTAAGCTGGGACAGAGCAAGGAAATGCCATCTAAATACCAACCAAAATGCCAACCTGTGTGTGTGTGTATATGTGCGTGCATTTATGCGCGTGACATGCACACGTGCACACAGGGAGCTGTAGCACAGAAATGTCTTGGAGCATTTCAGGGGATATGAAGCATAGGATTGAATCTGCAGAATTATTGTGAATCTGCAATATGTCACTTTGAAAAAGCTCTTCTTACAGTATGGCACATCAAAGAAGCATAGGTATTTAAAAGGAAGATCATCGTCATCATTTTCTTTACCATATGTAAAAACTTTTTTTTTTTAAATGTGTAAAATCATAATCATTTGTTACAATACAAGGGGGGAAGGTTGGGTAAATAATGACCATTTTTTATTTTGGGGTGAACTGTTCCTTTAACATTGCTGTTGCTGCATTCCATTCATGCTGCAGAACTGCTTGTCATGATAAACTCTGTTGTTGTAATAAAGGGCAGCCTCTTACTCAGGACGTATTCTGCTCCATCATGATCAAAGTCAGCATCCTCTGGGAAGTGGTTGATCTGGGAGCACACGCCACGCTTCACCCCTACAAGCAAAAACACGTCAGAGGAACGTCAGAGGTAAGACATCCTGAGCATATGTTAATCCTGAACTGAGAAAGAACCGCATCACATACCTCCGTAAAAAACCCTCACACACAAAAATCTTACTGACCACAAACTTTTGAACAGTAGTTCGTATTTAACACAAGAAGTGTCTCATGGAATATCAATTGTGATCATGGTCAAATGCAGGAATGTCAATTTTCTATTATTCTTTCATAATAAAACATGCATTGATGTGAGCTCTGACAGACAGATAGATAGATAGATAGATAGATAGATAGATAGATAGATAGATAGATAGATAGATAGATAGATAGATAGATAGATAGATAGATAGATAGATAGATAGATAGATAGATGGATAGATAGAAAGAAAGAATGAATACCTTTTAATGGTCTAATTCGCAATCCAATCTCTTTAAATTAGATAGGGAACTCATTTTTGGATTGTAGCTGCTGATACAGATCTAATTCTCTTAATTCATTATGTTCATTTGTTAAGATGTGGAACAGAGGAACACACACACACACACACACACACATGCACCCTAGAAATCTAGCCCTGGAGTCAATCGGGGAGTGAATAGCTACCCGCTCCAGTGCTGGGGGCCTACGGCAGACAGACAGACTGACGCGGTGTTGAATGATGGAGTGGGAATGTGATGGATTGATGAGACGGACGAAGGGAGAAACAGGTGGACAGGTGTATGGGGGATTCTTTTCACAGCTGTTTTTGTCTTTTTATATTCCTCCTCTTATGGACATTAATCTGTAGGAAAGAGACGAGGGCACAAAAGGGAAAGGTGTCAGCGAATCTGGCATCACCATTTTGTTTCTTTGTTAAAGATACTGCAGCTTTCAGTAATGGCCTTTGTTTCTGCCATCAAGTGCACGTCACCAGACCTGCCAAGCTTGGGGAAATTATTTGAGTACCACAATAGTGTAAACCTCAGTTCACATGCTTTTGCACTACTTCGCTTTGCACAAGGTTATTTCCCCCCTCACCACCATATTATTAATTTATTCATAATATAAATAAATAAAAATTATTTAAAAAAAACACAACAATTATATCATGAGGATATAGGAAACCCTATATATATGTAAACCCTATGGCCCGGTTTCACAGACAAGGCTTGGATTAAGCCAGGAGTAGGCCTTAGTTCAATTAAGACATTTAAGTAGGTTTCATAAATGAGTCTTAGCACTGAGATATGTCAGTGCAAGTTGCTTTCAGTTAAAACAGCTCAAATATGCATTTTAGTCTAGGCTTAATTCTACTTAGACTAGCCTTGTCTGTATAAATACAGGCACATATTTTTAAAGTTAAAAAAATCTCTCTGCGATTCTAACTGTTGTCAATCAATGTGACTATACAATATTAATAATTATTAAGATATTTTTTTTATTTAAAACTAAACTATATAATACTGTAGAAATAATATTATTGTACTGTACTAGTTTTTTGTGTAGTTGTTGCAAATCATACCAGTGTACTTTGAGGTCAAAATGTGTACCTGCTACTCAAAAGGCATACAGGTTGGCAGGTCTGCATCACCCACAATGGAAGAGCCACATATTTAAAAAAGACAGCAGTGTGACGAGCCACTGAGCGACTTTTCCACGCTGAGTGCTTTATTGGCTTTTTTTTTTTCTGGTCGCAGAGTTGAGAAATGTACAACTTTGAATAAAACGCAGAGCTCATCAGTGTCACTTTTTACCCAGCCGTCCAATCACAGTGGGGGAGGAGTGGTGAAAATACCACACCTACTTGTACTATGACTCTGCGAGTCCATATAATGCAAGTGTACGGGACCTCTAAAATATATATATAAAAAAAAAAAATGAACTACAGTAATCCATACAACTCCAGTTGATGAATCAATGTCGGCTGAAGCAAAACGATAGGTGTGTGCAAGGAAAATACTAATATTTTACACTTTTTACACCATAAAGTATAATGACTTTCAGCCAGCTGTCAAATGTGTGTTCGTGAGTTGACAAAAACATCAGCATGTTGTGAGACTTGTGTGAGAAGTGAATATCATCTGTGCTTCTCCATCCCTTCTTGCTTAAGCTTCAGAACATGCTTACAAAGTGCTGATGTTCATGTCAAGCGTGAACTCATGAACCCGTGTTTGACAGGCAGACGGAAGCAATGGTTTGTAGTGTAAACATTGTAAATAATAGTATTTTTCTCACACACGCTATCGTTTACGCTTCAGAAAACTCGGGCCGTACGGATTCCCGTCATGTTCACTTTGGGTGATTGTCAACTTGGGTTCCATCCACTTGCATTATATGGACTCGCAGATATTATCATTATTTATTTATTTTTAGTCTTTGAGGGTGAGTAAATGATGAGAGAATTTTTGGGAAAAGTATCACTTTAAGACTAGCACCAAGCCAGTATGGAAATTCAAGCTAGTCCAAATTGGTCCAATAGGAAGTTCACCTGCTTACCATGACCTTGCTTTTGCGATCTAAGCTATGTTACACATGAAAGCAACTCATTAGCTTTGAGAGTAGCATTGGCCTCTGCTATATCGACTGCTACAGCAGTAGGGGAGCCTGAAGGGCAGGACGAGGCCCAGCATGTGTGTGCATGTCTAGAATTGAGTCGCGGTGATGTGACAATCAGCGCACCTATCATCATGAAGCCAGTAGTACTTGCTGTTTGGACTGATTTAGCTGCAACATTTATTATGCAGATCCCAAAAAATCCGCTTTCCACTTCACCTGCTTTTAATTGTGTTTCTACTGAGCATCTATCTTGGCTCTAATCCCTCGGGAAAGCAAGGATGTCTTGACCTCTAAACTATGCCAAGAGTGCTGTAATACTGCAGTGACCAAAGGGGCAAAGAAAGAAGGGAAAGCGAGGCTTTAATGAGATAGAGAGAGAAACAAAGAGACGGCCGAAAAAAGCAGGCCGCGTCGCTATGATGATTGGGAATACAGGCTTATCTTTAATTGAATGCTTTGTTATCAGAGAGCTTAGCCATAAGGCTAAATTAGAAGAGCACAATGGCTGGCTGCAGGCGGAGCGGAGAGCGTATTACACGGGGATGAGTGAGAACACGAGGTGCTAGAACGACCCCTAAGACTACGACTGCTGTCCCTCTGTGTTGACCTCCCAATGCAATCTGCTCAGCCTTTTAATTAGGCCTTTTTGGGCTGTGCTCCTAAGTTCAAAACTCTATAACAGCTATATCGGGGTTCAGGATGTATGTAGGTTTTATGAAACTGTGTGTGTTAATTACCCAGACAGAATCATAGTGTCACACCTGGTACATGTGGATTCCACGCGTACCAGATGTGGGCCGGATCTGGGCCGACACTATGTTGCTGTCTGGGTATCCTTAAATGCCATTTAAATGAAGAATTGAACTACTTTTGAAACGGTTTCATCTTTTATACAGAACAATTTAAAGGCACTTGTGATTGTGAAAGTAGATTAATAATATGCATTATGTGAGATCCTATTAATTTGATGAATAATTAAAGTAAATAATAAAAATCTTACGTTTAGTATATTTTTGGAATTAAAAACATTGCCATGCCTGTAAAATGTTCCAAGACAGGGGAAATGACTATCCTCTTGCGAGGGACCCTCTTCCTAAAATATAAATATTGAAAATAGTGTGATATTACAAAGATAACATTTTATATTGTCACCGCAGTTATTATAGATACGTATACACTACCGTTCAAAAGTTTGGGGTATGATTTTTTTTTTTTTTTTCAATTAATGCTTTTATTCAGCAAAGAGACTAAGGCTTGGTTTCACAGACGTGGCTTACGTAGATCAAGCCAGGATTTGGCCTTAGTTAAATTAGGACATTTGAGTCGCTTTTTTACTGGATTTATCTTGAGACAAAACAATGGAACTGGCAAGCTGCTTTCAGTTAAAACAGCTAAAACATGCATTTTAGTCTGGGACTATCCTAAGCCTTGTCTGTGAAACCGGGCATAAACTGATCAAAATTGACAGTAAAGACATTTATAATGTAACAAAAGATTTCTATTTCAAATTAATGCTGTTCTTTTGAACTTTCTTGTCATCTAAGAATCCTGAATTTATCAGTTTCCACAAAAAATAGTAAGCAGAACAACTGATTTCAACATTGATGATAAGAAGATATGTTTCTTGAGCACCAAATCAGCACATTCGAATGATTTCTGAAGGATCATGTGACACTGAAGACTGGAGTAATGATGCTGAAAATTCAGATTTGCCATCACAGGAATAGATTACATTTTACAATCTTTTCAAATAGAAAATGGCAATATTTCAAATATGACTGTTTTTACTGTATCTTTGATCAAATAATAGCAACTTTGGTGAGCATAGGAGACTTCTTTCAAAAACGATTTCACAAATCTTACAGATCACAAACTTTTAAACAATTGTGTATACATACGTGCTTTTTATATATATACACGAAATTATTGGCACACTTGTTTTTCATTTCTTACTGTTAAAAACTATGGCTGTCAATAGAATAAAATAACTGTTTATCTCATAAGTCTGTAGAATAAAAATTATACTGAAACATCATCAAATTCTACATACGTTTTAAAAAAGCATTTATCATTAAAATATGATATTTAATAATTAATATTTAATCAATATATTAAGTTAACACTATGACAGAAAATATCAATTTTCCCCATGGATACCAGTTTGAAAACCACTGATATACGACTTTTTTAAAACTATTTTGATTTACCATCTGATGTACTATTGTTTGTTTATCAAACTGTGGCCTAGTATTTTTTTAGTATAAACACTGTATCATCATAAGACTACCCTAGTGGAGGCAAATATTAATAAATCATAACCCTCCTATTCTCCAAATAAGTGCACAGATAGCACAGAAACACAGATGCCACCCCTACAATGTAACCAAGAGCCAAGATAGTGGCTGACCCTCCAGACAACAGATCCTCCACAGGCCAGAGTGCGTCAAGGCCCCGGGGTCCTTCTTGTCTTTATTATGGGGATCATCTTGTGAGTTGTTGGCGGTGCTGTTGCAGATGAGCGCCCGCGAGTACAGCCAATAATCTGTGCCGATAGCCACCGTCATCAGGCCAAAGGATGCGAAAGCACCCACGATGGTGAGAAGGATCTGAATGCCCTTCTCACACACCATGCCTACAGGAGAGAGCAAGAGATGCAAAGAGAGAGAGAGAGATATGGAAACATCACTGATTGTCCATCTATCTCTCCTCCAATTTGTTTTCTTTTATAGTATCGATATAAAGAGATGAGAAATGACTGACCTCCTTCTCTTTTTAGACTTGATTCTAATCACGCAACCTCAGCCTCAAGGCCATTCAATGCTTCAACCTGATTGGACGAAGTAGCTTACCTGATGGCGAGTTTCTGTCCTTCGACTCAATTTTGAAATCTTTCTTTTCCTCGTCAGATGAGAATGTGCTGTCCCCTCAATCCGGGCAGCATCCATCGACTGTCCTCGCACACTCCTTTTGTTCTTCCTGCACTCGTTTACTCCCCCGCTTCTCTTCTGACAGGTCGACCACAATGGAGAAGCTTGTGTTGGTCTCTGTGATCCCTTCGTATGTATGCAGTCTTACTTTGCGTCAGTTCTGGTCATTGCCGATATATAAAACAAAACCTAGAGATAGAAAAGGAAGAAAAGAGAGAGATTGGATTCTGCCGCAATTTCTTTGCCGCAAAAAAAAAAAAAAAAAAAACTGTTAGGTGGAACTTTGGCAAGGAATGATTCTAAAGAACTTGGGGAGAAAGCAGCAAAGGCAGGTCTACACTGTTACCATAGTAACGCTGAATTGCAAAAGCTTGTGCATGGAGAGATGGGAGGGGGGCAGTGCTTTCATCCCTTGGGACGAGATAAGGGAATAACTGACAAACATGCAATTCAGCAACATTACATGAATGGATCATTGCAATGAATCTGTAGAGACTCCCTGACCAAGCAAGAGGGAGAATCATTACCTCACAGTGCTGGGTGCTTTATGTTAACCACACCTATATGAGACACAGACGCACGCCAATGCACACACACATGCAATGAAAACCTATAAAACCAGAGGACAATCGTGCAGTACGCATAATTTAGCAAACATAATTTAGCAGACATAATGCAGGGCTGCCTTGGCTGTTAATAATTTATAATGCAATATGGCACAGCCATCAAAATGGGTTAAATCCTGTTCACATGGTGAGCCTCTGCAGTACAGATTTGTAGCGCTCATAGAAAAATCCCTTTCGAGTCAAACATGGATGGACAATCTGAGTCGATTTCTAATGTGTCAGTGGCACATAAAATTTTTTTTAACATAAAGATGCAGTTTTGCATGTTGTAGCCCAAACTATTCTAGCTAGAGACGTTTATCAAGTGTAAGCTGTTAGATAAGATGACAGAGGCTGTAAAAAAATAGCACAAACAAACCAAATACAATCTGTACAAATACACAATGCAAACCACTATGTGACCCATACATTTATACTGAGCTGTTAAAGAGAATTATTAGGATAATAGTCCTTGTGTAAAAAAGTACACTTTAGCATACTATTAAATAGAGTACTTATATTGGATATACTTAAGTGCAAAGTAAATCTAATGTTTTGGACACTTAATTGCATGTAATTGCAAATAATCAAAATTTATTATAGTTTAAATTTATATTAAATAAAATTAGCTGAACTTTAGAGAGCTTTTTTGACCCATTTAAGTAGGACGTAAGTTCATCTTTATGTGTCATATCATAATTACTCTTATTGTCTTTGAAATAAGAGTTTTTGGTAAACTAATGTATACTTTAATGTAATTTGTATTGAAACTGGTATGTTTTCTATTTTTATATATATTATAATTTATATTTCGTAATTACACATTCATAATTAAAAATTTGCAATTGGTACATTTCAAATATATTAACTTTAAAATATAATATTGAATGACTGAAAATGACAATCGAGTACTTTACGTGCTTTTAGTATGTTAGTCAACACATCAAAATAACGTACTGCTTTAAAACACGACAAACAAGCAGTACACCATAATGATTTAAAATGTACTTTAAAGTAAAAAAAAATTATTGACATTATCACAAAGTGTAGCTACTTGTAATTAGAGTACATTTTTATGACATGATTATGATGACCAATCTGGAACACAAAAACGAAGAGAACTGAAGGCTTAAATACTCAAGGGAGGCTAATCAACAGAAACTGAAACAGGTGCGTAACAATCAGTAACCAAGGAAACTAACTAGTGAATACATACAGGCAGAAAGGGCAAACCAAACTAAGGATACGTCTACACGACAATGATGTACTAAAAACGTTTTTTTCGGATACAGAAGACAACATTCCCCGTTAACATGGATCTGCGAAATCAATTAAAAATGCTGTAATATGCTGCCAGGCGAGTAGTTGGTGATGTGACTTTGTAAAGATGCACTACACACTTATAGACTGAACTGAACACATAATACGCATGCGTATGACGTCACTGTTTTCACAACACAAATTCGTTTTTTTGTAGTTTTCACAGAGACAATAACTGTATTGTTTTCAAAAACTTGCACTCATTTTCAAAAGTGCAAGTTTCAGGCCGCAAAACGCCATTGTTGTGTAAATGACTGCCAAAACGCATAAAACGTTTTTAGTTGAAAATGGTGTCGTTTAAACGGACCCTCAAACACAAACAAACTGAACATAAACCTGACAATTACCTTCAAGTGCAGTTTAAAAATTTATATATACATTTATAATTTAAAATACACTACAACTGTAAATTTAATTCAATTAAGCACAATTCCTTTCACTATGGGGAACGTTAGTCTAATATCTAAGAAAGGCTTTTTTGTTTTGACTTTGTTATACAGTATGGCCACAGGTAAGGGTAAAGTTATTAATAAAAAAAATACCAATACAAATGTCTATATAAAAGCAGATGGAGAAGCTTAAAATCTCTAATCTAATCTCTTCTCACACAGTGAATACAGTTTATTATGATCAATACAAGAATCTGGTAATAAAGCTATGAATAACGGAAACAGCAACAGTCTGTTTTCTCACTCTCACTTGAGTCTGAGCAAACCATCATGTGACATTAACCTGTGTAAACTGGGTCCAAGTCTTGATCACTACAGCTCAGTCACATTCACAGATCACAAACGTCTCTTTTCTATCGGTGTAATCTCTGATTAATGCTGCTTTATCACATTGCCAGTGTTGAAGAAGCTTTAAAACTTCATAAATGTAGGTTGCCAAGCTACTAATAAACAAAAATAGCTAACTGCATTGAGGCAATATTGTATTATCACAAACAGAAACCAACAAATACTAAATACTAATAACTAATATTTATTAATTTCATGAAAAAAAGAGACTTCTGGGAACACTTTTTGCATTACAATATTCTATTATTGTATGCACAACAGTTGTACTGTTAACTCTAAAAATAGCTTACAAAAATGACTATTGGACTACAAATATAGTATGCATATAAATTACTATTACATAGTATAGTACACTAAGTAGTGAATAATTCAAATGTTTAGTCAGTAAGATTTTCTTGTGAAATATTTTTGAAAGAAGTCTCTTATGCTCACTGAGGCTGCATTCATTTGATCAAAATACTGTGAAAAATAGCATTATTGTGAAACATTACTACAATTTAAAAGAGCTGTTTTCTATATTAAAATATGTTCAAATTTAATTTTTTTATGTGATGGCAAAGCTGATTTTTTAGCATCATTACTCCAGTGTTCAGTGTCTCATGATCCTTCAAAGAGTTGTGCTGCTATAATAATATTTTTGTGGAATTCTTTGATGAATAGTGAGTTCAAAAGAACAGCATTTAGGCCTATTTCGAACAAAAATAAATATTTTTTAACATTAAAGGGTTAATTTGCCCAAAAAAGCAAGAAAAGTCGTTCCAAACTTGTAAGACTTTCGTTCATTTTTGGAACACAAATAAAGATGTTTTTATTGAAATCTGAGAGATTTCTGTCCCTCTATTGACAGCTATGCAACTACCACTTTGACGCTTCAAAAAGTTCATAGAGATCGTAAAACTTTTTGAAGCGTCAAACTGGTAGTTGTGTTGCTGTCAATAGAGGGACAGTAAAATATCTTCATTTGTGTTTAAGATGAGTGAAAGTATTATGGGTTTGGAGCGACAAGAGAACGAGTAAATCATGACAGAATTTTCTTTTTTGTGTGAACTAAGCCTTTAAATATCTTTACTGTCAATTTTGATCAATTGAATGCATCATTGCTTAAAGCAACACTAAAGAACTTTTCCTCTTCGGTCGCCCTACAGGTTGGAAGCAGAATTGTCCATTACCGCTGTAGTACTGTAAATAATTTAACTTACCGAAGCCTATACTGTCGATGAACAATGCCCACAGACAAGGTAGAGTATGTTGCATGATTTCATGAAAGTATGATGTATTGCGACATCAGAAACGAAGAAAAACTAAATAATGACTATTGTAACGCTTGACATAAAGCAAGTCAAATTTGTAGTTTTCTTATGTCTCATTCGAACTACAGAAACGCGACCCGGTCTGGTAAACTTGCATAGTGTGGTTAAAGCAGATATAGGGCTGCAAAGCGAATCCAGAAGTGCATTTCATTTCACCCTGTAACGACTTGATGAACCACTGATACGATTTTGGAACCATTATTTTAAGGTAAAAAATGTTCTTTAGTGTTGCTTTAATACAATTATTAATTCTTCTTTAAAAAAAATCTTACAGACCCTAAACTTTTGAACAGTAGTGTACAATACAGCAGTAGTTCTCAACTGGTGGGTCAAAACCCCCAAATGGGGTCTGTTCTCGTAGACGGCAGGGAAAAACAATGCTAATGCAAAAAAATAGAATGCACCTATATACAATAACAGTGTAGAATGTAGGAAAAATACTAAATTAAATAAACATGGCACTCAATCAAACTCTTCTCTACATGATTTCATATATATGCTAAGGTACAATGCGTTTTGTTCAAAGAATAATTGGCTGTGCATAGAATGAAACCATCAAATTTCAAGCTATTATCAACACAACAAATAAATAAACAGTAATGTTGAATATTCTAATCTAGTCTATGCAGTTCATCATAATATAATTTAAAAGTTTCGCATTAAGGATATTTTGGATAAATCTGGGTCCAGAAAAAAAAAATCAACTGAGAACCATTCACAACATCAGATACATAACAAAATATAATTATTTTCTCAAAAGAAGAATTATATTCCTCCCACAAAAACACTGCCCAAAACACAGAAAGTGTTACAGATTAATAATAGGCCATCCTTTTTTTGTAGTTCACATGACTGCCCAGAAAGCCAGTGTGAAGTCAACAGTCCTGAGGCGTTTAACTCCTCTGCAGGCCACAGAAACATTAACTGAAATACACTATAATCATAGCCTACACTATAATAATCAGCCTGAGAGTCAGTCAGAAGACAGTCAGCAGCTTTCAGTGTCTGTTTCAGTCAAAGGCCTCTGCTATGTTTAAACTGAAGTAGAGCATCAAACTGAGAACCACACACGACAACACCTCTTATGAAGCAGATTGTCTCTGTGTTTCCAAAGTCTGCCACTTACTATCGCAGTAAATACAAACATTTGGCTTGGC